CGAAGCATATTTGGAGTTTAATAAAGCCATTTTAAACAGGTTTGGAAGAAGGTTAAGATCCTCCCTAGAGCATGAGGTAGACTTGTCACAGCAGACTGGGGTAGACACTAGACATATCTAAGTCTGGCTCCTGGCTCCTCAGGAATAACAGATAGTTGTCTGGATGATAGTGCTCACCCCACCAACCAAACTCCAGGGTCACTGTAGGTCTGTTAATTCCGTAGAGCAGGTTCCCGGGGACTTAAGGACCAAGAGGGGAAAATGACCTCAGCTTTTATTCCCTCCTAGGAGGATGACAGATTTCACAGGCAAAGCCGAGAAAGGTAAGTACAGCTGGTACACATTCTTGATTTGTTGTGGCATTTGGCTGCTTTCATAGAGTTCTTAGTTGTTTTAACACAAGCGTAAAGTGACAGGTTGCCCTGAGCCCTATTGTATTCTAGTATATGGGCAAGTTCTGCTTGTGTAAATCCAGACCAAGGGCCAGTGAGAGGGCTCACTGGATAAAAGTGCCTACCACCAAGCCTGCCGACCTGAGTTCAATCCCTCTAACCCACATGGTGGAAGGAGAAAACTCTTGTGAACTGTCTGCACACATTCCACACACACAATGAGTTAAAAAATAAATATGAGGGGTTGGAGAGTCAGCTCAGTGGTTAAAACCACTGGCTGCTTGCAGAAGACCCAGGTTCAGTTCCTAGCATCCACTTGGTGGCTAATTGTCTGACTCCAGTTCCAGAGGAATCTGATGCCCTCTTCTGACCTCTGAGGGCATTGCATGACATGGGTGCATGTACATACATTCACACAATACACATATAGACACAAACTAAAAATGTTAAATATATTCATATATATTGAATAGCTAGAAGTGTTGGCACACATCTTTAATAACAGCATTCAGGAGGCAGAGGCAGGTGGATCTCCAGACTAAGGCCAGCCTTAATGAGTTCCAGACCAGCTAGGGCAACAGGGAGATCGTATCTCAAACGAAATCAAATCTAGGACCTGGAGAGCTGCCTCAGTGGTTAAGAATACTGGCTGTTCTCACAGAGGACCTGGGTTAGGTTCCCAGCTCCCACATGGCGACTAACAACTACCTGTGACTTCAGTTCTAGGGGACCCAATGCCCTCTCTTGGCCTTTGTGGGCATTGCATACATGGATGGACTTACATACAAGCAGATACAACACATAAAAATTAAGCTGGGTGTGGTGGCGCATACCTGTCCTCTCATCTTTAGGAGGCTGAGGCAGGAGGACTGAGTCTGAGACTAGCCTGAGCTGCACAGTGAGACCTTGTCTCAAAGCAAACCACTGAGAAATGGTAAAAATCTGAGCACCCAGTGAAGGCTGCCATCTTCTGTGTCTTCCTGACTGGGTCCTGCCTTGGGTATTGGGCTGCCATCCATTGTGTGGCTCACAAGGCCATTGAGGGGCTTCGTCAGTCACTTCCCACTCCTGGAAGTGCTGGCTGGCTGACAGTCTTGATCTCAGCTATGTAAAGCCAAGTTTATATCAAGTTCACCAGTCTGGCTTGGTGGCTGTTAGCACATCTTGGTGGGTGGGAACAGTGGGTCTGGCTTACGTGCTCTGTGACAGCCCACCTGAGGACCTCCTTCTGGCAGAGCGTGGACACAAGCAAGAAGTAGTGCATGTTTGTTTTTTTGTTGTTGTTGCTTTTTGGTCTTTTTGAGACAGGGTCTCCCTGTAGCCCCAGCTGTCCTGGAACTCACTATGTAGACCAGGCTGGCCTCGAACTCAGAGATCCACCTGCCTCTGCCTCCCGAGTGCTGAGATTAAAGGCATGTGCCACCATGCCCGGCTTGTAATGCTTGTTTTTAATAGGGTCACATTATGTAGCCCAGGCTGGCCCTATGATCTTTCTGACTTAGCATCCGGAGGGCAGGGATTCAGGTCTGCTCTATGACTTCCAGACCTAGAGGTAGTGTTCCTTTTGGGGGATGGGGAACCATGTATGTGCACATGTGTGCAGGTACATGTGGTAGCCTGGGAATGACATTTGGTGTTTGATTGCTGCTCACCTTACTCATTGAGGCAGGGTCTGTCTGTTGAGCCCAGAGCTGACTGATAAGGCTAGTCTAACTAGCCAGCTTATTCTGAGGTTCTTTTGTCTCCTTACCAAATGCGTGGAGTTAGAAGTGAGCCCCTATGTCCACCCAACATTTATATGGGTGCCTCTTTGCTCTCTGAACCATCTCCCCAGCCTGAGTGCACTATTAAGCCTCTGTTAACATCCACTTGACTGATGAAAACACCGAAAGCCTAATTGCCCAGGAGGGCCAAGTATCTGCCCCAGGGACATAGCTCTGTTGGAGCAAGGTCACAGTGGGAACCCATGTGTGGCGGCTTTTCTTGCTTACTGGCACCAGCCACACTGGACCCACCCTTCAGTATTCAGTCCAGGTGCTTGCAGCCCTGATGAAGCACTTCTGCCAGACTCCAGCTTGCTGGTACAGCCCTACTCTTGGTCTGAGACTGCTGGCTTTTTATTCAAGTTGTTTGAAGGGCCATTTGTCCTTTTTTTTTTTTTGGTCTTTTTGAGACAGGGTCTCCTTGTAGAAACTTGCTATGTAGACCAGGCTGGCCTTGAACTCAGACCTGCCTGCCTCTGCCTCCCGAGTGCTGGGATTAAAGGTGAGCACCACTACACCCAGCTTAACATTTGTCTTTTTAAATGTTATATGGGGCTGGAGAGATGGCTCTGAGGTTAAGAGTACTGGCTGCTCTTGCGAGGACATGGGTTTAATTCCCAGCACCCACATGGTGACTAACAACTGTTCCTAACTCCAGTTCCAGGGGATCTGATGCCCTTTTCTGACCTCTGCAGGCATTGCATGACACATACATGCAGGCAGTACACTCATACACATAAAAAAAATAAAATTTTAAAATGTTATATGGGGGCTGGAGAGATGGCTTAGCAGTTAAGAGCACTGACTGCTCTTGCAGAGTACCCGGATTCCATTCCCAGCACTCACATGGTGGCTACAAACCATCCTTAACTCCAGTTCCAGGGGAATCCGAAGCCCTCTTCTGACTTCCACGGCATTACATGACACGGGTGCACTCATATACATGCAGGCAATACACTCATACACATAAAATAAAAATAATAAAATATTAAAAAACGTATATGTATACAAGAATAGGTGTATGCTTGTTGCAGCCTGAGTGTAGAGGTCAGGACAACTTTCAAGGTGTCTTGGGCCTCAAACTGAAGCATCGGGCATTACAGGTGCCTTTACCTGCTGAGACATCTCACTGGCCCTTGTCTACTTGATTGACTATTTGTCTGCAGTGTGTGAGGCTCTACGTTTGGTCCCCAGGACTGCAGAAATAGAAGAACATTCACATGAAGGATTAATGGATGGAGGTTAGGAAAGGTGACCTGGAACTGTGAGGTAGCCACACAAGCCCTACTTTTGCCTTGAATAGTGCCTAGATCCCAGGTCACTTTGTGTTTTTTTTTTTTTTTTGACAGAACATCCAGGCAGAGATCACATGAGGAACTGGACAGAGAGACAAGACCAGGAACCCACACTGAAATGGAGGACGAAGGCGAAGTAAAGGCTGAATTCTTGTCTTAACTCTATTTTGGTCCCATCCTACTGGGTTGGGAGAGATGGTGCCAGGCAGGGCTCTTGGTGGGAATTCAGCCCACGAGTGATAGGCAGGTTGATCTCGCCGATGATGGTGACTGACTTGATCCTTCTCCTGGGCATTGGTGGGTGCCACTGCATGTCATATATCTTCATGTTGTCTGTCCATTGTGGCTGAGAGGCTTGTGTCTGCCTGGATCCAGGTGTAGGTGAAACCACTTCTTTGGAAGCCTGTTTGTGGTCAGTCCAGCCAGGCCTTCCCCTTGAAGTCCTGAGTCCGGCTCAGTCCTCCTCCTCCTGCCAGCCTCCACTTGCCCAAGTGAACATGCTTACATCTTGGCACAGTGCATATGGTTGTCAACCCAGCACTAAGGAGGGGTATAGGCAGGAGGATCTGGAGTTAAAGATTATCCTCAGCTACACAGGAAGATGAAGGCCTGCCTGTCTACATGAGACTGTTAAAAAATAATTGAACCCCCCCTCAAACCTAAAGCTTACTGTTTAGTATCCCTTCAGATACTAATATGCTATAGTCACTTATGTAAATAGCCCAGTGTTTGCCTGGGACCCCACATCCTCCACACACTTAAGTCCTCTGCCGTGCCTGTATGTGTTCTGATGCACTGAGTGCTATTGAAGTTGCTGTTCAGGGACTAGGACGAGAAAGTCCTTGTGGATTGAGGACAGTTGACAAGTTTTTCTGAATCTCTTCCATCTGTGACTGTTTGAGTCTCTGGAAACTCAGTGGAAGGCTGATTGCTGGGGTGCTGGGGTCTTAGGGCCCTGCCTGTAGGAGAGGCTGGGGAATGGGCAGCTTCATTCCTGTTGATGTTGAAAGTGGAGCCTGAGGCCAGTCTGGCCAGTGCTAAGCATTCTTGCCTTTGGCCTGATTGGGAGTAGACTGCCCAGTGACATTTGAGTCTTTGGTACTCCCTCAGGGGCAGCAGTGTCTCATGGCTTTTCACTTCTGATGTGTTATTTCAGTGCTTGCAGTGAATTCTCTCACTGGGGAGTGCTTTTTTTTCTTTACTTTTTTTTTGTATGTGTGTGGGCATGAGTGGAGGCCAGAGGACAACTTGAAGTCAGTTTTTCTCCTACCATGTGGGTCCTTGCAATTAGGGGTCGTCAGGCTTAGTGGCGAGAGCTTTTTTCTCACTGAGCCATCTGGCTGGTCCCAGCTCTTGTTTTGAGACAGGATCTGACTATGGAACCTGGGTTAGTCACTCATTCGCCAGCTGGGATATGGTTGGAGCTGTAGATCCCACACTGGGAGGTCTTCACCTTATGATAGAAAGGGAGGTTCAAGGTCCAACATAGGCCTTTCTCCTGTTGCTGAATTCTGTGTACCTAAGGCCACTTCTAGATTCTTTGGTTATGAAGATGAACTAGGTGGACTTACCAGTATGGTCTTTATTTACCTGTTCAGAAAGCCCTGAACTGTGTATACCTAAGTGTGTGCTTATTTTGTTTTGAAATGGTCTCAAGCCAGGCATACAGGCACATGCCTTTAATCCCAGCACTCGGGAGGCAGAGGCAGACAGATCTGAGTTTAAAACCAGCCTGGTCTACATGTAGTCCCAGGCCATCTGGGACTACAGGAAGACCCTGCCTCAAAAAAAAAAAAAAAAAGGTCTCATGTAGCCCAGGTTGGCCTCAAACTTGTTATCTTGAACTCTGAATCCTCCTGCCTCCCTGACCCCCAGTGCGGGGGTGACCTGGTTTATGTGGCACTGGAGATGAACCCAGGACTTGGGGCATGCTTGGTAAGCATTCTATCTACCCCACCCCTTTCTGAGGCAGTGAGTGTCTCATAGTCCAGGCTGGCTTGGATACATGGGTGGCCTCCTGCCTTGGCCTCTAAGTGCTGGGTTGCAGTGTGAGCCACACATCTGGCTTAGAGTTCTTCAGTACTTGCTGATTAGATATTGGGAGAAATGGGGAGTGAAATCTTGAGGCTTCTGGTCTGCCCTGCAGCTGAGCCCAGGACCAGTATATTTGTATTTGCATTTTACCCTGCCCTGCCTCTGAAACTAATGTTTTTTTTTCTGTTTTTTTTTTTTTTTTTTTTTTTTTTCTGCTGGGTTTGGGATTTGTTTGCTGTTGCTTTTCCAGGATGAAAGAAAGCCCAGAAGTCAACCCAGAGATTTGTGAGTGTCTGAAGAGCATCTGTCTTGCTGGCTTGTTGATTCCTAAAGACCCTGCTGGGAAGAACAGGGCCTGTGGGGAGCCAGGACCAGTCTACGCTCTGGGCTCCTCTATCCTGTACTCCTGTTTGGTTGTGTGGTCCTCCCTGTCTGTCCACACCTGTGGGGACAGGTGAACTACCTGTACACCTTGTTTTAGAGTCTCCATGACTGTTTGTGGTGTTTTTTTTTTTTAATGTGAGTGTTGAAACAGGATCTTATACAGCCTAGGCTGGCCTTAAACTCCAGATCCTCCTGCCTTTACATTCCCAGGTGTGCACCACCATGTCTGGACTTTTGTTTTAGATTTGTTTTTGTTTTTAGATTTAGCTTTGTTTGTGTATGTGCCTAGTATGTGCAGTGCTCAGAGGCTAGAAGAAGACATCTGATCCCCTGGAACTGGAGTTGTGGATAGTTGTGTGCAGCCCTGTGGGTGCTAGGAACCAAACCTAGGTCCTCTCCAAGAGCAGCCAGTGCTCTTAACTACTGAGCTAGCTTTCTAGCCCCATATTTTGTTTTGCTGTGCTGGGAATATGTGCTAAGCAAGCACTTTACAACTGAACTGTATCCCTTTTACAACTGAGCTACATCCCTAGCTCTGGGCTTTGCTTTTTTTTAAAACAAAACAAAACTGTCTCGCCATGTGATACTGGCTAGCCTCAATCTTAGATCCTGTCATTACACACATGTGCTACTGTGTTTTCACATGGGTGTTGGGGACTTGGGTCCTCATGCTTATGTGGCAGATTCTTCGCCCCCTGAACCAGCTCCTAGCACACAGGGAGGTGTTAGGCTGTCGTTTTCAGAACAAGTTAGCACTGGAGGGTTTTTTTCCAAGCTAATGTTTGCATCATGGGTTCACTCAACAGAGCTGCCAAGCGGCGATCCGAGGAGGCTGAACCAGAGCGGGTGACTCCACAGACTCCTGAGGGCAGAGACGAGGATGAAAGGGTAGGGACTTCGGCTCTTTTTTGGGTATGTGGGAAGTGGAAGGGTCTGGCTGTGTAGCCCAGGCTGGCTTTAAACTCCCCCCCAAAAGCATGTTGTCTTCTACCCACACATGCATGCCAATGCCCATGTACGTGCAGAGTCCACAAATGTAATTAAACATCTAAGAGGAAGGTTCCTGTGGTAAACAGAATCACAGTACCATTGTTCTTCTGTGAAATTACATCATGCATCTGGTCTGTTTCCATTTATTTCCCTTGTCTTTGTGGATCTGTTTTGCTGAGCAGTCTTCTCCCCAGGCTGGAATGGCTCGTGCCTCCTTACTCTGCTTACTCTGCTGGTTTTTGTAGCATAAGCTGACACGTGGGATCTAGACTATGGGAAATGAGTTGGGATTTTTTTTTTTGTTCCAAACATTAAAAATCATAGCACATGCTTAAAAGCAAAGATGCTACAGTATCACTAGAAGCCATGCATCTTGGAACTACAATTTTTACATGGTCTGTTAACCAACATGTCATCATGCACCTCTGACTGTTTTGGTTTAGATCTGTTAAGAATAATCAGTGGGGGCGGGGGCTGGAGAACTGCCTCAGTGGTTAAGAGCACTGGCTGCTCTTGACAGAGGACCTGGTTTGGTTCCCAGCACCCACATGGCAGCTAACTCCAATCCCAGGGGATCTGATGCCCTCTTTTTGCCTCTAAGGCATTGCATGAAAAAGATGCACAATTCTCTCATTTGGCAGAGTTCTATTTCCTGGCTTATTTATAGTGCATCTCTGACCCCAGGCTGACCCCAGCAATCCTCTGCCTCAGCTTCCTGAGTGCTGTGATGAGGGATATGAGCTGCTGCTCCTGACTCACCTAGTGTTCTTTGGAGTCCTTCAGTTCACTCTTGACTCGCTCTCCTTCCTTCACTCATCTGAATCCCTTTACCATCCTTGTGGGTGCTCTGCGCTACTGACACCTACCAGCTGCTCAGGTTCTCTTATTTGCCAACAGGTTGAGATGGTAGTCCAGGGCCACAAAGCCTGCATGGCTACTTTCTGTCCAGGCTGCTGTAGTTTGCAGATGGCCGTTGCCTTGCTGTCCTTCTGTGGCTTTGTACTGGGCTTACGTGTGGAACACTGGGCTCTGATGTCCCTCCACAATAGCTTGTCATACCTGTTGGGTCAGGGCATCAGTCTTGTATCCTTATTGAACCTCACTCCCCTCCCCTCCCTAAGGCATTGGCACCACAGGCTCGGGCTCTCATAGAAGTATGGGTCAGTCCCTGGAACCTTGTCATCTTTCTGGCGTCCTAACGTTCCTTGTTCAGGAAATGTGGGTAGGCTGCCTGCCTTGCTTGCCTCAGATTGGCCTCTCATGAAACTGACAAGTCTTAGTTAAATTTATTTTCAAGATAGCATTTGGCAGTGTGGCCAGACTTGGCCTTGAACTCTAGAACTCTAGATTGTCCTACCTCAGCCACCTGATGCTGGGGTTACACATGTGCATCTCTATGCCCTGCTTCCTCTTTTTTTTTTTTTTTTTTTTTTTTTTTTTTTTTGGTCTTTTTTTGAAACAGGGTCTTCCTGTAGCCCCAGCTGGCTTGAAACTTACTATGTAGACCAGGCTGGCCTTGAACTCAGATCCGCCTGCCTCTGCCTCCCAAGTGCTGGGACTATAGGCATATGCCACCATGCCTGGCTAAGGCTTTCTCTGTTCTTACAGTGAGAACTGGGACCCACATAAATAGACAACGTCCAGTCATGTGTTACTGAGTGACCAATACATGCTCTGGCAAATGAGTAGTTGGTGATGCCACTGTTACTGTGTGAATGTCAGTGCTAACGATGACTGTGATGTTGCTAGACAATAGCATCTCATAGGGCCAATGTAAGATGTGACTTTTGGTGACCAAAGTGTCACTGTGGAATGACATCTGTATAGTTCGTTTGTCCCAAATAGTTTTCCTGCTCAGCACATGTCTCTAGTCTGTGGGAGGTGGTTATGGTACCCCAGGATCTGGATCTGGCCCCATTTCCTACAGACGCTGGGCTGTCCACTGTTCTTGGAATTTGGGAGGTGGTGCTATGTGGCAACACCTGGGATACATAGTGGCCAGTAACCCTAAGGTAGAGCCTAGGCTTTCACTGTGTGCTGCATTTGTCCATTACAGCAACATCTCAGCTTCTTTGTTGAGTCAGGGTCTCACTATGTAGCACCAGCTGGTCTAGAACTTGCTATGTAGACCAGAATGGCCTTGATCTCAGAGATCCTCTTGCCTCTGCCTCAAGGCACACACCACATCTGGCCCAAAGTCAGTGTTTTGAGACAGGATCTCAGTATGTAACCTTGGTTGGCTTAGAGCTTATGGCTTTGAACTTTTAGGAATCCGCCCCACCCCCTCCACCGTCTCTGCCTCCTGAGTGCTAAGATAATGGGTGTATTCCACCAAGCCTGGCTTTCTCAGTTTTTCTCCTTTTGCAGTGCTAGACATGGAAATCAGGCCCTGGCACATGCTAGGCAAGTGCTCTGAGCTGCACTGTAGTCGTCCTCTTGTTTATAACTGTCCTTACCTAAATCCTGCAGAGGAACAGTAGTCTAACCTGAAGTCACTGTAAAGCATCCCTGTACACACTTGGGCCAATGTGGCAGGTCCACAGCTCTGCCAACATGGGTGTTTTTCCACAGCTCGTGAAGGTGGAAGTCTATGACGAGGAGGAGGGCCCTATGGTTAGTTGCTGGAGAGACTGCTCTGGCTCCAAGATAACCACCAGGGTGTGGCTTTGCACAGCATGGGAGAGTGGATTCTGGCACCCTCCCCTTCCCATAGTGTCAGGGCCTCACTCTGTGGACCTCATGAACCCTCACTCCCCTCCGTTAGGGACCTGGGTCCTAAAGCAGTCACATTGGGGTCAGGCTTAGTTCTTTACTCTTTTTGAGATGGGGGTCTCCCTGTAGCCCTCACTGGCCTGGAATGTACTATGTAGATCAGGTTGGCCTGGATCTCAGATCCACCTGCCCCTGCCTCCTGAGTGCTGGGATTAATACTTCTGTGCCTTGCCTGGTTCTTTAGTTTCACCTGGTTTTTGTGATAGGGTCTCACCAAGTGGCCCAGGACTGGCCTCCAATTTCTGATCTGGTCTCAGCCTGAGTGCTGGACTGCCATACCCCCTGGCAGGATTTTGGTAGGCTTTAGATGTGGGCATGATTGGGGCCTGACCGCCTGGCCCTTCTGACTGTCGTTCTCCTTGAGTTTTGTGATCTTAGCCCCCTAGGTGCTGTCCAGACGGCAAGGGATCCTTACTGTTGCTCCCCTTTGTTTCTTTAGGAAGAGAAGAGGCGCAAGACAATATCCAAAGAACCGTAAGAACTTTTTTTATTCCGAGCACATCATGCTGGACAGTTCAGGAAAGTGGAACAGTTCAGTGAATCTCTGCCTAGCCTTATTTCTCCGTAGGGTGGGATGGAGACAGTGGGGCCAAGGAGGTGTTCCTCAGATGCTGAAGTGGGCATGCAGTGCTCCATCAGCACTGAGGCTGCTGGTTCCAGTATGCCAGGGCAGCTTGGGTGTGGGCAGAGCAGAGTTGATAATGGTATATTCCCATTTGATGAAGGATGCAATGTTGTGTGTACTTTGTTCCCAGAGTTGAGAAAAAAGCAGCCCGTAACAAAGTGTCCATGAACTCAAAGGTAAGCACCTTGAGGGCAACCTGCCCACAGCATAGCCATACCAGGTGCTGGGCAGCCCTGAGGCCATCATGCTTGCTCCCACAGATCCAGCCGCCACGCTGTGTCCAGTGTGGTCAGTACCTGGACGACATGGACCTCAAGTACCAGCAGCACCCACCCGATGCTGTAAGTGCCGTCTCTGCCATCAGTCTTGTTCCTTGCCTCCTGGTGTGTCTGTACCTCACTTGTCCCTGTCCCTCAGGTGGAGGAGCCGCAGATGCTGACTAATGAGAAACTCTCAATCTTTGATGCCAATGAGTCGGGTTTTGAGAGCTATGAGGCCCTGCCTCAGCATAAGCTCACATACTTCAGGTAACTGGCAGCTTGCATACAGCCTCGTGCATCTGTGGATGTGCACCTGTGTTTAGGGATGTACTTAGTCTTAACCACTGGGCCCTTCAAGCTGCTGTTGCTCTGTGGAGAGTCCTGAAGCTGATGGAGGTGGGGTACACTCTCAGCCACCAGTATAAATTGTGTGTGGTTTTGGTTTTTTTTTTTTTTTTTTTTGAGATAGGGTCTCTTGTAGCCCAGCCTGGCTTGATGTGTGCCTGAGGATGATGTTGACCTGACTCTCCTGTACTGGGGTTACAGGAATGCGCTAACTCTCCCCAGTGTGTGGTGCTGGGGATAGAACCTACAGCTCCCGTGTATGCTAGGCAGGGTCTCACTAGGCAGCCCTAGAATTCAGATGCACGTGTCTCTGCCTCCTGAGTACTAGGATCAAAGGTGTGTACTACCACACCTGGCCTGGTTTTGGAGTTTTTGTTTGAGACAGGTCTCCATGTAGTCCCAGCTGGTCTGGAATTCACTGTGTAGACCAGGCTGGCCTCGATGTCAGAAATCCACCTGCCTCTGCCTCCCAAGGGCTGGGATGAAAGGTGTGCACCATCATGCTCAGCCTTTTTTTTTTTTTAATTAAATTTTTTTATGTGTATGAGTATATTGCCTGCATACACTCATGTTCTGCAAAATCCAGAAGTCAGAAGAGAGTATTGGATTCCTTGGAACTGGAGTTATAGATGGTTATTAGCCACCATGTGGGTGCTGGGATTTGATCCCCGGTCCTCTGCAAGAGCAGCCAGTGCTTTCATCCACTGAACCCTCTCTAGACCCCCAATGGTACTTTTTTGAACTGTATCCTCTTGGCATATAGGATAGTGAGTGTTGGGTGATAGGACATTGCTCCCATGTTTTGTCAAGCAAACACAGCCTAGTCTAGGACAGTCTCTGACTTGTGCCTACTGCTCATGCCCACCATACTGGGTCATGTGGTGAGGTGCTGTTGTTGTCCATCTAGTGTGTACTGCAAGCGTGGCCACCTGTGTCCCATTGACACGGGTCTCATCGAGAAGAATGTTGAACTCTACTTTTCTGGTACTGCAAAGGCCATCTATGAAGATAACCCATCTTTGGAAGGTATGTGGAATGTTCTAGGTTATGTTTGGAAGTCAGAGGGGAGTTTTAGATTTTATTTTACATGCATGAGTATTTTGCATGTATGAGTGCAGGGTGTGTGCAGTGCCTGCAGAGACCAGTTGCAGGGGATCCAAAGCCCTCTCCTGGAGTGACAGATGGTAGTTAGCTGTCATGTGGGTTCTGGGAACCAAACCCAGGTCCTCTACAAGAGTAGTCAGTGCTCCTAGCAGTTGAAGCCAGCTCTCCAGCTCCCTGGCCAACATTTTACAATAAGCACAATTTACATATTATGTGTACTCTGTGGGATCTACTGCTCTCTCAAGAGTAGGCTCAAGGCTCTGCTACCAACTAAGGTAACAAAGCCTCTCACAGAATATGTGGGCTAGGGCCTTGTGCCAGTACCACATTATTATCCTGAGTCCTATGTGGGAGTCATGTAGTTAGTCTTTCTGCTTGTGAAACATTTTCTTTCTTGCAGGTGGTGTTAATGGCAAAAACCTTGGGCCCATCAATGAGTGGTGGATCACTGGCTTCGATGGAGGCGAGAAGGCACTTATCGGCTTCAGCTCCTGTGAGTGTGCTTAGGCACTTGTGTCCTGGGACATGACTAATTCAGTGGGCTCCTCAGGAGGTCTCATCAGGCGTGGAGAGGGCACTATTCCAGTGCAGCCCAACTAGGGTGTTCTCTGTCTTAGTCTAGCCTGGAAACTGACCCTCCAGTTACATAAGCAATTGAAGCTCCTTCAACTGAAATCCAGTCCAAACTCTTAAAACCAAAGAGGAGCTCACTCAGATCACACTTGGCTTATTTCAGTTCTCCAACTGGCCTGAATAGGCCACATTAGAAGCGGCTAACTGCAATGTCATCCCCTCCCCCCAATTTGGGATGGATTTTAGATTGTTCTGGAAGCTGCAGCCAACCTAGAGGCCATTAGGTTGAAGTGACTATGGATTTTTATTTTTACATCTGTATGTTGTACACCGTGGCACATATGCAGAGGGCATAGGACATTTGTGGGAGTTGGTTCTCTCCCTCTACCATATGAGTGCCTATGATCAAATTCAGATCATCTAGCTTGGTGACAAGTACCTTTGCTCACTGAGCCATTTTACTAACTCTAAAACTGCTTTTTATGTCCCTTGGCCAGCCAGGTGTGGTGCACAACCTTCATCCCGGAGGCAGAGGCAGGTGGATCCTCTTGAGTTTGAGGCCAGCCTGATCTCCATAGCAAATTTGAAGCCAGCTGGGGCTACAGGGAGACTCTCTCAAAAAGACAAAAGTCCCCTGGCCAGCCATGGTGGCACATGCCTTTGGCACTAGCACTTGGGAGGGAGTCGGGCAGATCTGAGTTCCAGGCCAGCCAGAGCTACAGGGAGACCCTATCTCTAATAGTAGTAGTAGTAATTGCCCAGCATGGTGGCACATGCCTTTAATTCCAGCACTTGAGAGGCAGTGGCAGGTAGATCTCTGTAAGATAGAGGCCAGCCTGGCCTACAAAGCAAGTTCAGGCCAGCTGGGGCTATAGGGAGACCGTGTCTCAAAAAGACCAAAAATAAATATAGTAAACAATAAGTATGTCCCCTGGCTGAACATATGGCAGGTGGCTTTTTTCCTAGCTACTCAGGACCTGAGGCAGAAGGCTCCTTTGAGCTCAGTTCAGGGCCAGCCTGAGCAATATGGTAAGATTCTGTCTCCTACAAACATCTGTGCTCTGCACAGGTGATGCACACTAAGGGAGATGGAGTGCCTGTGACCCTGATTGCTCAGCATTCTTTATTAACCAAGTCAATGTGTTCCCCTCAGCATTTGCAGAATATATCCTCATGGAACCGAGCCCTGACTATGCACCAATATTTGGGCTGATGCAGGAGAAAATTTACATCAGCAAGATTGTGGTTGAGTTCCTTCAGGGCAATCCTGATGCCACCTATGAAGACCTGATCAACAAGATTGAGGTAAGAGCTTTGCCTTCTTTATGATGTAGTTGATCCTTATACAACAGCCTGGGTGATGCTAGAAAACTCAATTCTACATTCAAAGTCAGCAGAACCTTCCAGTACCACTAGAGCAGTTTTAACAAAAGATTCAAGAAACAGGACTGGGGATGTGGCTCAGGGGTAGAGCCCCTGTCTAGAATCCACCAGTGAGGGACGGGGGATGTGGCTCAGTGATAGATTGTTTACCTACCATTTATGAAGATAGTTTCCCCTACCACCATAAGGAAGTGCACACAGAATAGAGAAATCTTTTCTTTTCCCCTGAAGACTACCGTCCCACCTTCTGCCATCAACCTGAACCGGTTTACAGAGGACTCTCTTCTGCGCCATGCCCAGTTCGTGGTGGGCCAGGTAGAGAGTTATGATGATGCCAAGGACAGCGATGAGCCACCTATCTTCCTGTCCCCCTGCATGAGAGATCTGATCAAGCTGGCTGGGGTCACCCTGGGACAGAGGTAAAGGCGTGGGCTGAGGTAGACTAGAGACCAGGAGCAGAGAAGGCAGTCTGTATTGTTACCTAAATCTGGCCCATGTGTCTCGCAGGCGAGCTGAGCGCCGTCAGACCATCAGACACTCTGCCAAGGAGAAGGACAAGGGGCCTACCAAGGCCACCACCACCAAGCTCGTCTACCAGATCTTTGACACCTTCTTTGCAGAGCAGATTGAGAAGGATGACAGAGAGGACAAGGAGAATGCCTTCAAGCGCCGCCGCTGTGGTGTCTGTGAGGTGAGCTGCATCCCTCTGGCAGCTTTGGGGCTCTTCTTGTTCAGGTGTTGGAAGAATCAGTGCTCCTTGCAGGACAGACGAATAGCCAGGGCAGAAGTCAGTGGGGGTGTCCAGGGCTTTCTCTGTTGGCTAAGGAGCCCATCTTCCTGAGAGCATTGGCTCTACCTGCTGGTGGAGAGGGGGAGGGCAGCTAACTGGCAGAGCAGAGCCTCCTCCCAGGAGGCTCTGGGAGAGTATGGGCTTGGCTTTGCTTAGGTTTTATGGTCACAGAGAGCCTCTGTGTAACTTACTGGTTCTCTAGCCCACATTGGTCTTGAAGTCTCAGTCCTTCTGCCTCAACCTTCCGAGAGATAGGATTATAGGCATGTGGCATCTGCCAGACTTTTGTGACTTCCTTTTATATATAGTAGCTGGTTGTGTATTCGTGGGTTCCATATTGTTGGAACCAACCTACCTCACACCAAAATACTCAGAAAAAACAAACTGGGTGTGGAGGTGCAGGTCTGTGGTCCAGCACGTAGGAGGTAGAAGTGGGAGGATCAGGAGTTTAAGGTCATCCTCAGTTACAGGAGTTTCAGACTAGCCTGAGGTACAGGAGGCCCTGTTTAAAGGTGTTTCTAGTGAACCATGAACTTTGTTTCTCTTTTGAGATGGCTATGTAGATAAGTCTGTTCTGAAACAGGTAGTTATCCTTCTGCCTCTGCCCTCTGCCTCCCCAGTGTTGGGAGTGCAGCACTATGCCCTGCTCTCAAACTTTGACCTTGGCCCTGTACCCTCAGTGTACCCTAACACCCACCATCACAACATTCACCTCGTCTCCTTGTTGGAGGTATTTAGACATTTAGTCTGCAGGGCTTGCGTCTATACCAAGCCCACCTTTAAAGGGGATTCACTGATCTGAGAGCTCTAGATTGGGATTCTCCATGGCAGTTTCCAGAACACTGGGGGATAGCCAGGTTTATTCCACTTTTTAAAATATTTTTTATTTAATGTGTATGCATGTATTGCTTACATGTATGTAAGTGCACCATGTGGTGCACTGTCCATGGAGGGAGATTGGAAGATGGTGTCAGATCCCCTGGAACTGTAATTATGGATGTGAGCCACCATGTGGGGGCTGGGAACTGAACCAAAGTCCTCTGCAAAAGCAACCTGTGCTCTTAACCTCGGAGCCATCTTTCCAGCCTCTCGTCTTGTCTTGTCTCTTCACAGCCCCTTTCTCAAGGGAGTACAAGACCTTGCCATCTTCATTTTAGCCTTTATTTCTCTCAGCATTTGTGTTTCCAGTGTTCCTACCGTAGGTGTTCTCTGGAACAAGTGGCTCGTCTGGCCTGTCGGGCATTGATGTGATTCTGCTGACTTGCGTCCATAGCATCTATTGTGTGCCTGTGTGCACTGCCTCCTCAGTGACCTGCCGCTTCCCAGTGTCACTAATAGCTGTGGCAACACCTCTTAGCACAAGGTCCTGTGAATTTCTCTACTTGGAGTTTCTATGGTGCGCCCAGCATCCTTGGCCTCCATTGCAGGACTCTGTGGATCCCCAGATCCCCAGGCCCCTCATCTAATGGCAATGTTTGTGTGGAGCCTGCGATATCCTCCATAAACCTTACTTTGTGACTTAATACTCAACACAAAGTCAGTACAAGGTCAATGCCATGCTGCCTGAGGTCTAAAAATGTCTGTATGTTGGGCTGGTGCTGTATTTCTTCATGCTTTTTAGATTTTATCATGGGTATGTTCAAGACCTGGAGTGTGCATATGGAGGTCAGAGCTAACTTTGTGGAGTCGTTTCACTTCCCACCCTTCCTATGGGTTCTAGGGTTTTAACTGATGTCCTGAGGCTTTGCAGGGCCTTGACCTGCCAAGCCATTTTACCAGTCCCTTTCTCTGTGTATGCTGTCATGTGACTGGATGCTCGGATATAGAGCCCTGGGCTCAGAGTTGCACTGTTTTGAACTTATGATTCCTCAGTAGATGCCATCTCGGTATTTGAATCCTGCCACAGCCCATTTCAGCAAGTCACAGGGCTCCTTCTGAGCAAGAGCAGCTCTGTGCAGAGGTAGTGACCAGGCTGTGGGCATTGATTGTAACCTAGAAACTGCCCTTCAGGGTGCTTTCCTGTTACTTTCAGTAGTGTATGTTCATTGCCACCCCATGGGATGTGTAGGAAGGTGACAGGAGAAGAGGATGCCATGCTGCTGACCATGTTTAGCATACTTCTTTTGATCTTTTTGAGACAGGGTCTCCCAGTAGCTCCATCTGGCCTGGAATTCGCTATGTAGACCAGGCTGGCCTTGAATTCAGAGATAAACATGCCTCTGTTGGGACTAAAGGCATGTGCCACCATGCCTGCCTAACACACATTTTTATGTGGTGTATGTATTTGTATATGTGTATGTGATCGGAGGACAGCTTGAAGGAATCAGTTCTTTCTTTTTTGAGTCCTCAGGCTTGAGCTCAAGCTGTCAGGCTTGGCAGCAAGCACCTTCAATTGCTGAACCCATTCGCTGGCCCTGACTGTGCACATTTTTTGAGAGTTAGAATTCATTGGAAGTTCCTGTGTCTGCATGGTGGTTTGACTGGCTGTTTTTTAATTTTATTTTTTATTTTTTATATCCCCAGGTTTGTCAGCAGCCCGAGTGTGGGAAGTGCAAGGCCTGCAAGGATATGGTCAAGTTCGGAGGCACTGGACGGAGTAAGCAGGCCTGTCTCAAGAGGAGGTATGCCACAGGGTGCCTTCCAAGAACAGAGGGCAGTCTGGGAAAGCCTCCTGTGGAACACTGTACAGCCAGCAGAACGCTTCCCCAGGGGACCCCCACCTTCCTGCTCCTGACTGGCACAGTCCATGTGTGGCTTTGCAGGTGTCCCAATATGGCCATGAAGGAGGCAGATGATGACGATGAGGAGGTTGATGACATCCCAGAGGTACCTTCGCCCAAGAAGATGCACCAGGGCAAGAAAAAGCAGCAAAACAAGGCTCGAATCTCCTGGACTGAAAAGTACGTGAAGGTGAGTACCGGATGGGTAGAGGCCTACAGGGATTGGGACAGGGATAAGGAAGCTTGGATGGGGCGCTGTCAAGGACTGGAGAGAACAGGTGCCCAGAGAGGCTAGAGGTGTCAGATCCCCTGGAGCTGGAGTTATAGGTGGTTGTGAGCCACCAATGTAGGTGCTGGGAAAGTGGTTCACGGCAAGAGTAGCAAGCATTCTTGGGGCTAGAGAGATGGCCCACTGGTTAAGAGCACTGATGGCTTTTGCAGAGGACCCAGATTTGATTTCCAGAACCCATGTGTTGGCTAGCAACCATCTTAACTCCAGTTCCAGGGGAATCCGACACTTCCTTCTGACCTCTGTAGGCATTGCATGACGTGGGTGCACTTACATACATGCAGGCAGTACACTCATACACATAAAATGAAAATAAATAAAATATTAAAGTACTAAGCACTCTCAACTGCTGAGCCGCCTCTCCAGCCTGTGGCTTAACAGAATCATAATGAGTTTTCCTTTTTTTGAGGGGTGCTGGGGATGGAACACAGCAGAGGCTGGCACATGCTAAGTATTGCTGAGCTGTGCCCCTAGTTTGTTCAGAAAGTCAGAGGGGAGTGTCTAGGGGACCTTGGACCTGACCCAGTACCTTGCTCCTCAGGTTATTGACAAGAGGTACTATCACGAGACGGTGTGCATTGACGATGAAATCCTGGAGGTGGGGGACTGTGTCTCCGTCATCCCTGACGACCCCTCCAAACCGCTCTACCTAGCCAGGTGCGCACCTCCCCTCTCACCCAACTTTTATCTTTTTGTTTTTGTCTGAGACAGTCTCCTGTAGCTGCAGCTGGCCTGGAATTCGCTCTGTAGACCAGGTTGGCCTTGGTTTCCCAGAGATCCACCTGCCTCTGCCTCTTGAGTGCTGGAACAAAAGGTGTGCCCCATCATGCTTAGCTTGGTGCCCACTTTTTTCTCGACACAGCAGTGTCTATTGTGTCATAGTGACAGGAAAGAGACGAGTTCCCTGAGCTAGGTGTAGCCTTGTAACTTGGTCATGAAAGCTTCCCGTCTCCCCTGCCCCCCCATCCCTTCTCTCATCTGTAGGGTCACAGCCTTGTGGGAGGAAGCCAACGTGAAGATGTTCCATGCACACTGGTTCTGTATGGGGACTGACACAGTCCTTGGGGCCACCTCTGACCCCTTGGAGCTGTTCCTGGTGGGCGAGTGTGAGGACATGCAACTGTCATACATCCACAGCAAGGTCAAGGTTGTCTACAAAGCACCTTCTGAGAACTGGGCCATGGAGGTGAGTGCCCCCAATCCCCCCTCTTTGCCCTGCTTAAGTGGACCGAAGCTTATACCTTTATCTGCATAGGGAGGCATGGATCCCGAGGCCATGCTGCCCACTGCTGAAGATGATGGCAAGACTTACTTCTACCAGCTGTGGTATGACCACGAGTACGCCAGGTTTGTGTCCCCTCCAACGACCCAGCCAACGGAGGAGAACAAGTTCAAGTGAGTGTCAGAGTTGCCTGAAAGCCTTCCCTGCCCACCTGGCCCCTGCCCTGTGTCAGGGCCACCCATGGGGAGTCATCTCGTCTCTTCTGTGCTCCCGGAGGATGGTGTACTTCTTCCTTGCTATTCTTCGCTGGCCAGAGACCAGCCTGGCTTCATGGAAGGGCTTGAAGTACGTGGACCCACCTGGAGGCTACCTGGGGATAGAGCCCCAGACCTTGTGTGTGCTGGGCAAGCCCCCTACTGCTGTTGTGCAGTCAGCCCGACTTGTTTGCTAGTGGTAGTGTCTGTTTGAACTGTGGTCCCGAAGAGTTATCTTCATAGTATGGATATAAAGTATGGGGAATCCACCTCCCCCCAGGCATCTGCAGATGAAATTCTCTTGGCCCTTGGTATCTGTGTGGTTAGTGGTAACTGCTGTGGTTCCCTACAAATTAGGCTCAGTATTGCTTCTGCCTGGCTCTTGCAGGTTCTGTCTGGGCTGTATCCGGCTAACTGACCTGAAGCAGAAGGAAATGCCCAAGGCCTTGGAGCAGATTAACGAGGTGGATGGCCGGCTTTACTTTAGGTCTGTCACCAAGAACGGTGTGCTCTACCGGATAGGTGACAATGTCTACCTGCCCCCTGAGGCCTTCTCCTTCAAGTAAGTGCTCCTTAGCTCCTACCAGTCAGAGCCAACTCTGGTTCCCCAAGCTGTTCCCCCAGCCACCGCATAGAACCTCGTTGTGACTTGGAATGAGCAGCTGATACCACAGATTCCACTGATGAGCTGTTAGCTCTGTTACTATAACAAAATCTCTTGCTAACTTAGGAAAGATTGCCATATTCTGGTTCAGATTGGGACGTTCTAGTACAAGATTGGGCAGACCTGTCACTCTGGGCCTCTGATGGATGTGGCAGATGATATTGGTGAGGAGCATGTCACCTCATGGTCAGGAGGCAAAGGAGAGAAAGAGGCTCTTGCTACTACCTCCCTTGGAGGGCAGGGCTTCGGGGAAGTTCTACTTGTAAAGGCTTCATAGTTTGCTGACAGCACCACCAGGGGACGTGGCCCTCAACATTACTTGTGGGAGACCTCGACATCTGAACTGGCATGCCTTTGAGGCTGGGTAGGGCTAGCTGAGAGCTTGTGCAGGAATGATTGAGCCCCTTCCTGCTGTAGCTCTGAGGCCTCAGACCAGGACTACTTCCCAAATTTCCATCTGTCAGTGGGGGAGACTCAGCGGATCTCTCTACCCTCTCTACCATGGCTCTGAGAATGAAGCCGGTTGAAGGGACAGTGCTCTGTCCAGGGTTTGACGGCTGAGATCATGGTTGCGCGTCAGTGTGCTAACCTGTACCTCTTCTCATATCAGAACAGATGGCCTCCAGGGAATAAAACCAGTCTTTCCCACACTCCATCCTAAGAACTTGCATGTGGTTAGAACTGCAGCCCACATTTTCTGAACTTGGCTCAGTTTCCAGACTTGAGGGTCCATCTTCCTAGTATCTGTGGGACCCCATTTCCTAGCCTTAACTCAGTTACCATGAGCCATGGAACAAAGGAGTAGGTGCCTCAGTCTGGGTGTTATCCCTCTAACAGCAGCCTCTCTGGTGTCCTGCTGGTAGAGGCACAGCAGATGGGTCACATACGGGTGCTCAGAGGCACCTATGGGATCCAGTGGACTGTAGAGGCCTAGGTAGGGAGGGCAGTGCTAGCACTGTGGGAGCAGTCTTCAGGTCGTTGCCTGTGGTTTTGGCCTAGTGACCAAACTGGGTAACCAGCTTTGCCACAAGTTGGACCAAATTCAGGTTCCCGCTACTCCGTGACCCTTTACCATCACATCCAGATCAGTGCCTCCTTAGTTGGGGACACGTAAGCTGTGGCACAGTGACAACCCTCAGCCCCAGGGACTTCATAGCACCACCGTTGCTTCCTTGGCTGTTGCAGTTTAGGAACCAGCTGCCTTGGACCAGCTGCCATGGGTAGAAGGCGCTGCCACCTCTCAGCAGCTGCTGGTCTCTGAGCCCTTTCCTGTGACACTGCAACTTGTACTTGCTGACTGGAGATAGCCTTGCCAGGAAATGCAAAATGCCATATGTCCAGGAGGGAAGCCGGAAAATTCTTTTCTATAGATGAGGCTGACCTAGAACTTGATATGTAACACAGGGTTGCCTGGAACTCCTGACTGTCCTGCCTCAGCCTCCCAAGCTCCAGAAGTACAAACATCTGCAGCCACCTAAATTGGGAATTGTCAAGTGGCATTTTAAAACTAGGAGTGAGGTTTCCTTTCTACCCACACCTTTCCCAACTGCACTCGGCCACATCAGCTTCTGCAGGGTTAGAGGTGGTTTCTCCTGGGTGGCCATCTAGACTTCTCAGTTTAATGCCTAGTGGATTATGCCTGCCCACTGCCTCCTGCAGCATCAAGCTGTCCAGCCCTGTGAAGCGTCCCCGGAAGGAGCCTGTGGATGAGGACCTGTACCCTGAGCACTACCGGAAGTACTCAGACTACATCAAAGGCAGCAATCTGGATGCACCTGAGCCCTTCCGCATTGGCCGGATCAGGGAGATCCACTGTGGCAAGAAGAACGGCAAGGTCAACGAGGCGGATCTCAAGATCCGGATCAACAAGTTCTACCGGTGGGTAAAGCTGCTGCTGTGGCCCTTCCAGGTGATTCTGTGGAGCTGGCCACACACACAGCTGCACATGGAGTTAGATGGGGTGTTGTCTTTCTAGGCCTTCACAGGCAATGGTGTTTTCAACAGCCCTGGCCTTTGGGTCCTGTCCTAAAATCGTCCAGGGCTGAGCATGGCAGGCAGGTCTGAGATCAAGGCCAGCCTGATCTACATAGGGAGTTCCAGGCCAGCTGGGGCTATAGGGAGACCCTGTTTCAAAAAGCTAAAAGAACAAATAAAATCCTTTGGGCCATATGAGGTTTGTGGAGTTTCCTGTGGCCCAAGTAGGCACGGGCAGTCGAGTAGCTAGATGGTCTCAGGCATTTTGAATGAGTTTGGGCTCAGACACGATGCATTGGAAACTTAATCTTTCCCCAATGTCATCCTTGCAGGCCTGAGAACACTCACAAGTCCACCCCGGCGAGCTACCACGCAGACATCAACCTGCTGTACTGGAGTGATGAGGAGACAGTGGTGAACTTCAGTGACGTGCAGGGCCGCTGCACTGTGGAGTATGGGGAGGACTTGGCCGAGTGCCTACAGGACTATTCCCAGGGGGGCCCCGACCGCTTCTACTTTCTTGAGGTGGGGCCCAGGCTGGCTGGAGTGAAACTTAAAGGGCAAATGTGGGAGAGAGCAGGGTGCCCAAGAAAACAGCTTGGGCTGGGACAGGGCTCGGTGGTAGTGCCTGTCCAGCAAATACAAGGTCCTGGTTTTGTCCCAGCAGGACAAAAATGTATACCAGGAAAGCAGGTAATGTGATGTGTGGAGTTTCAGATGTAGGATTTTGGCTTTTAAAGGATATAGGGGAGCTGGGACTTAGTTGATAGAGTGCTTGGCTAGCATGCATGAACCCCTGGGTTCATCCCTAGAACCACATAAACCAGGTGTGGTGATGCATGCCTGTCATCCCAGTACTCAAAGTGGAGGCAGGAGAGTCGGGCATTCAAAAGGAGATAAATCAGGAGGCAGATAGGACAGATATGAGTTCTGAGTTCTAGGCCAACCAGGGCTACACAGTGGGTCCATGACTCCAAAATAAATAGCAGCTAGTAGGCACAGATTCTCAGCTTTTGGGCAATAGGATGCAGTACTTACAAAGCTTTAACCTCTGCAGTTACCATAATTCAGGTCTGTGACGGTGAGTTGCTCTGGAGTTTTACATTCTCAACTTTCACTGTTTTTATGTATATGAGTGTTTTCCCTGTAAGTGCACCATGTGTGTACAATGCCCATGGAGGCCTAAAGAAGGCTTTGAGGCCCCTGGAACTAGAATTACAGATGGTGGTTAGCTGGCATGTGTGTTCTAGGAACTGAACCCGGGTCCTCTGCAAGAGCAGTCAGTTCTCTGAGACACTGAGCCATCTCTCCAGCCCCACTTGTAGCTTTTATTTTTTTCTTGTAGCCCCAGACCTGCCTGCTTCTGACTCTCTACTTTTTAAAAAAAATTTTATTTTATGTGTATGCGTGTTATGCCTGCATGTAGGTAAGTGCACCCATGTTGTGCAGTGCCCATGGAGGACAGAAGAGAGCCTTCTGTGATTCTAGTTCCAGGGGACTCAAAGCCACCTTTAGGCCTCCATAGATCCCCTGGAACTGGAGTTTATGGAGAGTTAGCTACCATATGGGTGCTGGGATTTGAACCTGGGTCTTCTGCAAGAACAGTCAGTGTTCTTAACCTCTGAGCCATTTCTCCAGCCCCTGACTCTCCACTTTTAAAAAGTTAAAAGTTAGAGAATGAAGCATTTTAGTGTCTCTTTTTTTTCATCTTTTTGAGTCAAGGTCTCCTTGTAGCCCGCACTGGCCTGGAGCTATGTAGACCAGGCTGGCCTCGAACTCAGATTCACCTGCCTCTGCCTCCCGAGTGCTGGGACTACAGGTGTGCACCACCATTCCCGGCTCTGTTTTAGTGCCTTAACACAGCTAAAATCTGTACTGGGAAAGGGCCTCCACCAGTCCACTGTGGTCTTGGTATGTGTTGGGAAAGGTCCCCCTTCCTAAGGGAAAACAGCCCTGCTCCTTGCTCGGTCTCATGAGGCAGGTGGCCCGGGTTCGGACTGGATCTAGGAGCCTATTGATGATGTGGACTGACTTGAATCTCTCTAGCTTGGCTCCTCTGTGCTGTTTTTTGAGACAGGGTTTCCCTGTAGCCCCAACTGGCCTGGAACTTGCAGACTAGGCTGGCCTCAATCTCAGAGATCCACCTGCCTCTGCCTCCTGATTGTTGGGATTAATGGTGCATACCACCATGCCCAGCTGTGCTGTTATCTAAGGATGCATGTTTGCCTAACCAGGTTCCCAGGTATATGGCATGTCAGGTATCCTGGCCTACCTTACATAGCACTGTAGAAACTGACAGTTGAAGATGGTAGTTTGGGTTATAGAGAATTGGTTAACGGGATAGATGTGGGTTTTAAGCAGTTTCTCTATAGTGTGAACTGGCTTAAACATAGAGTAAATCTGTGGCTTCCCTTGGACTGATGTGCCTCCTTCCCACACAGGCCTATAATGCCAAGAGCAAAAGCTTTGAAGACCCTCCAAACCATGCCCGCAGCCCTGGGAACAAGGGCAAAGGAAAGGGGAAAGGTGCGTGTCCGGCCCTGCTCTTCAGTTATTAGTGTTTGTTTTGAGACAGTCTTGTGTAGCCCAGGCTGGCTCAGAACTCGGGATTCTCCTGTCTCCACCTCAGGAATTCTAGGTTTACAGGATCCCAGGGTCACAGGCACCCAGGAGGCTGAAGTGGGTGGGTCGTAAGTTTGAGGCTCACATCGACAACAAAGGGGAGACCATGTCTCACTTGAGTTCCCCGAATAAGACCTGCTGGGACCCTCTGAGCACTGGCTTTAACCTGTGGGCTGTGTCCACCTCCAGGGAAAGGGAAGGCAAAGTCACAGGTGTCTGAGCCCATTGAGACCAGTGAGCCTGAGGCGGCCATCAAGCTATCCAAGCTGCGAACCCTTGACGTGTTTTCTGGCTGTGGAGGGTTATCAGAAGGATTCCACCAAGCAGGTAAGTGCTGGCTGGTCCTGTCTGATGCTTCCTGGGTCCAGGCCTTGTTGGCTCTGTCACTATCCTGGCTGGGGCACCTCATTGGGAAGACTTCAGAGCACATACTTGGCCTGGGTAAGGTAGCACAGTCCTGTTGGGCCAGCTGGACAGCGAGGCCATGTTTGAGCCAAGCAAATCAAACCAACCTCCAAAGCAGACCTCTGCTGTTGCATCCCCCAGGTGTCTCGGAGACGCTGTGGGCCATTGAGATGTGGGAGCCAGCAGCCCAAGCATTCCGGCTGAACAACCCAGGCTCCACCGTGTTCACAGAGGACTGCAACGTGCTACTTAAGTTGGTTATGGCTGGGGAGGTGACCAATTCTCTGGGTCAGCGGCTGCCACAGAAGGGTGATGTGGAATTGCTATGTGGTGGACCACCCTGCCAGGGCTTCAGTGGCATGAACCGCTTCAACTCCCGAACCTATTCCAAGTTCAAGAACTCCCTGGTGGTCTCCTTCCTCAGGTGAGCGCAGCAAGCCCCTCTGTTGCCTGCTGTGGGGGGCCATGGCTGTGGGAGGCACCGGCACTCTGCTTGGGCTGTCTGCTGGTGAGAGAAGTCACATACTGAGAGGTACAGGCTCAGTACCTGTACCCTGTGGGAGGGGGGCTTCTACACGGTGGGGCTTCTGTCATGGCCCTTAGGGTGACACCTGCATGTCTCATACCACAGCTACTGTGACTACTACCGGCCACGGTTCTTCCTGCTGGAAAATGTCAGGAACTTTGTCTCCTTCAAGCGCTCCATGGTGCTGAAGCTCACGCTGCGCTGCCTGGTCCGCATGGGCTACCAGTGCACCTTTGGTGTGCTGCAGGTGGGCCATATGGTGGGGGCCACATGGGTGGGTACACAGTGTCTAGTCCTGTCATTGGCAAAAAACACATACTCATCTGCCTTTTGGTGAGGGAGGACATTTGTGCCCGTATCCATCAGTGAGGCTCTCCAGCTTGGATTGTAGGGTGGCCAGGCTGAGGCCCTGGGAGGCTGAGGTAAAATGAGTTCAACACCAGCCTGCGCAGGGTCAAAGCCAGCTTGATACCTTGTCTCAAAAATAGCTGTGAGTACAGTGCAGTGGTAGAGCCTTTGACAGGTGCCACATTGCCAAGGGCTTGGTCCTGAGGACCAAAAAAACGACTGGGACTGGGGCTCAGTGGTAGAGAGCTTGTTTAGTGTGCATAAAGCCCTGGGTTCAGCCCAGCACCAAATAAAGCATGGGGGAGCACTCTTATCTAGCAGGTGGGAGATGGAGGCAGGAGGATCAGGAGATGGTCATCTTCAGCTACATAGAAAGTTTCAGGCCGGCCTGGGCTACATGATACCTTGACTCAAATATAAGAAAACAAACTGAAAACGGAAACAGCCGTTAAAATGGAGGCTGAGGTGACTGGAGGGGCGAGAACATGTGGAGAAGCCAGTGCGGGACCGTCCACTTGTGAGGTGATTGGAGGGACGAGAACATGTGGAGAAGCCAGTGCAGGGCCACCCACTTGTGAGGTGACTGGAGGGGCGAGAACATGTGGAGAAGCCAGTGTGGGGCCACTCACTCATGCCCTGGAGCCTCGTGCTGATGGCCAAGCCTGGTTGGCAGCCCTACCCTCCCTACAACCTCGGTTGCCAGGTAGCAAGGCTCCCGAGGCCTCCCCTTCCACTCTCACACCCATGCAGTGTTCCCCAGAGTGGGCTGGGGTGTCCAGGGTATAAGGTCAGTGAAGAAAGATGAACGAAGACTGAACAGAACAAGTTCAAACTGGAGAACCTGCCGAGGGAGGAGCCAGAGATCTTGGTGTCTGCTTGCACACTGGAGGTTTTTAGGGGGCTGACAGCTTCCAGTTTGGGAATTGAAATTGGCTGTTGCAAGGAGTGACCAGGGTTTAGTGATGGCTAAATATCTCTGGCACCATTTACTAGGATTGGCAGGGTAAGGGTGATAGGAATCTAGGAAGACTTTGGGTCTGGAACTGCAAATTACTGTAGCTTTGGGAATTATCCCCATTTAGCCACAATGGAGCTTTGCATGGCATGGCCCTGGCTAAGAGAGGAGCTGCCCTTGTACGGGTTGGCTGCTGGATCAGCAGGTGCCCCTTGCCTGCTCCCTGGCCTGCTTGCTCCCTGGCCTGCCTGCTCCCTGGCCTGCCTGCTCCCTGCTTCAGGTTCTCCATGCAGAGTCTAGTTGCTTGGATGTTCTGCCAACCACATCTTTCCCTACACAGGCTGGACAGTATGGTGTGGCTCAGACACGCAGGCGAGCCATCATTCTAGCCGCTGCCCCAGGTGAAAAGCTGCCTCTGTTCCCAGAGCCTCTACATGTGTTTGCGCCCCGAGCCTGCCAGCTGAGCGTTGTGGTAGATGACAGGAAGTTTGTCAGCAACATCACCAGGTAGGGGCTCTACCCAGCCCTGCACATGCTGTGACAAGTGATGTGATGTCTGTGCCAGCTGGGGAGGTCATTGCCAGGTTCTGTGAACCTGAGCAAGCAGAGCAGCAGGTGGCTCTGTGCCATGCTGCTTCCAGCCTGGAGTTCTGCCTCCCATGCTAATAACTAATCACAGCCACAGTCTCCAGTGGAACCCACGCTCAGCTGATGACATGTCTCAAGTCAAGCAGAGCCTGCCTGCATGGCCTGAGGGCATCTGCAGTCATGGGGAGCAGGAGTGTCTCCCTGAGGTGCCCAGACTGTTCTCTGCCCTGCTGCAGGCTCAGCTCAGGCCCATACCGGACCATAACGGTGCGGGACACCATGTCTGACCTGCCTGAGATCCGGAATGGAGCATCAGCATCTGAGATATCCTACAATGGGGAGCCACAGTCCTGGTTCCAGAGGCAGCTTCGGGGTTCGCACTACCAGCCCATCCTCAGGGACCACATCTGCAAGGTAGCCTGGAGCGTTGTCTCCTGGCTGGCCCCCACTTCCTCCACTTGGGCCCTGCTTGCTGCCAGAGCTGGCTCTTGCCTCCATTCAAAGTCTTGCGTTCTTTCTTGTCCTGACCACCCTCCCCATGGTGGCCTGTTGTCTAAAATGTCCATCAGAGTCCTGTTCTCATGGGTGGTCCTTGTATGGTGTCTAAGCCCTGCCCACACCCTCTCTGCCATGTCACCACTATGCTTTTGTGCAGGCTCCCCAGTATACCAGTCTTGGCCTGTTGCACCCTCCTCTGGTTGATTTGGCCCTGGCCCTCCTTGCCCCCTGTACTGTAACCCCATCCTGTCCTAGGCATCCCTGTCATATTCCTGCATGTCTGTTCCCCAGCTGGAATGGGGTAGCTGTCTACTCCTGGTGGGATCTGAGCTTCTGGGTTCCCTGTTGCCATAACTGGCTCTTAGCTGAGTTCCCTGTGCTCTTCCAGGACATGAGCCCATTGGTGGCTGCCCGCATGAGGCACATCCCCCTGGCCCCAGGCTCGGATTGGCGTGATCTGCCCAATATCCAGGTGCAGCTGACTGATGGCACGCTGGCTAAGAAATTGCGCTATACCTTCCACGACAAGAAGAATGGTCGCAGCAGCTCCGGAGCCCTGCGAGGTGTCTGTTCCTGTGTGGAAGGTGCGACCCTCAGCTTGGGCTGCCCTGGGGGGTCTTCCCATGACCATGTGGTTCCCTGAGCTAAGGATGGCTTTCTGGGGTTCTCCAGCAGCACTCACTTGAGGTATCTACTTGTTAACCCGTCCTGAGTGCTGATAATTAAATGGCTGCCAGGGTGTGACATCAGTTGTGCCCGTGGGATGGTGGTTGCCAGCTACTCTGTCCCTCACAGCCCTTAGAGTTCTCCTCCAGAAGCCCTTTTCTGGAACTGGGGTGCTCTTGAGTCCCTCTCCAGCCTAACCCTGGCCTGGGCCCCAGCACAGTATTCTTTTGTAGCTGGCAAGGCGTGCGATCCCACGGCTCGGCAATTCAACACTCTCATCCCCTGGTGCTTGCCACACACCGGAAACCGCCACAACCACTGGGCTGGGTTGTATGGGCGCCTCGAGTGGGATGGGTTCTTCAGCACCACCGTCACCAACCCCGAGCCCATGGGCAAGCAGGGCCGTGTGCTGCACCCTGAGCAGCACCGGGTGGTGAGCGTGCGTGAGTGTGCCCGCTCGCAGGGCTTCCCTGACACCTACCGGCTCTTTGGCAACATTCTGGACAGACACCGGCAGGTCAGCAGGTTTGGGGTGTTGGGTTGTGCCACTGAGCATGAGAGGTGGGGAATTTCACAATGGCCATACATCCCTCCCTAGGTCACTGTCCAATAGTTAATACACTGCTTGCTACTCAATGTGGCCCTCAAATCCCAGCAGCCTGCGCGCCAACCCGACCCCATCCTGTACTCCCGAAATTGGGGCTCTTAATAGGCTTGAGGTGGGTCCTGGATATCCTGTTTGTCAGAGTTTTGTAAAGCCTTTAAAAACTCCCTCTTTGGGGCTGTAGAGCTGGCTCAGGTGTTAAGAGCACTGATTTCTCTTGGAGAGGACCTGGGTTCAGTTGCCAGTACTGACATGATGGCTAACAGCTGTCTGTAAGTCCAGATCTCTGGGACCCATTGCCCTCTTTGAGCCTCCATGGGCACTATACGCATAGTGTACTTATATGCATACAGCATTCACACACATAAAGAGAAAAACCTTTGACATGGATGTGAGTCTGTCATGGGTAAAGGTCTGTGCTCTGTGAGACCAAGCTCCATTCCCCCAGTCCTTGGTCAGTGTTCTGCCTTGCTCTGAGCTGAGGCAAGCTGCTGCCGAGCCTGATGCCAACGTGGTGTCATCCCCTTCCTTCCCACAGGTGGGTAATGCCGTGCCACCTCCACTGGCCAAAGCAATTGGCCTAGAGATCAAGCGCTGTATGCTGACCAAAGCTCAGGAATGTGCCTCAGGTACTTGGGCAGGGAGCAAGAGCAGCTCCGGGGCTCAGGCAGGTCACTAGCCCCACAGGAGTGCTCCTGGGGACAACTGGTTGTACCTTCTTAGACCAGGAGGTGGGCTGGCCCAGCAGGCTTCAGGGCTAGATTCCAGGTCCCTACTGACTGCATGGCAGGCACCTGCCTGGGCTCCTAACTAAAGCAGTTGGATGCAGAAACTTCTAGCAAGTTCACATTTCCTGCTGTTGGCCAGTTCCCAGAGGCCACTCACGGAGCTTGGTGTGCTTGGGTGATTTTCCTTTCCTTTCTCTCCAGCTACAGTTAAATCGAAAATGGAAGAGAAGAAAAAGGAGGTGGAGAAGGAAGAGGTGGAGGCAGAGGAGAAGGCGGTGGAGGAGAAGGAGGAGGTGGAGGAAGTGGAGGTGACCACCATGGACTAGTGCTCTCATCCCCTTGCCCTGGCACCAGGAGCCCCCACATGCACTGATATTGTTTTTAACCTGTCATGCCCCGTTGGTTGAAATGTGTTGTGCAGTGTCCGTGGCTGCGGTTGGCAAAGCTGAGATTTGCTTTGTGACCGAGCCATGCAGTCGTGTGCGTGTTCTGGATTTTAAAAGTTTTTATTATGCATTATATCAAATTACCACTGTACAAGTGGAAATGAAGACTTTATGTAGTTTTTATATGTTGTAATATTTCTTCAAATAAAGCTCTCCTGTAAAGCGTCTTAGGTAATGACTAACACAGGGCTTCTAGATCCTTCTCGGCTAGGTGGAGGGGTGGTCCTGTGTATTTAAGGGGATGGAGATGCCTACTTCTCAGTGGGATATTCTGACTCAATTCTGGCCAGTGAGAGGCACATGGAACTTTCTAATGTAGCTTCCGGAAGGCCTTTTAAAACAGCAGCCTGAGCTGGTCTCCATGGCCTTTTTTTTTTTTCCCTTTTTGAGGGAACTCACTATGTACACCAGGCTAGCCATGAACTCAAGATCCACTTGCCTCTCCCCAAGTGCTGGAACTAAAGGCGTGCACTACTGTGCCTGGCTTCCATGGCCATTTTTATGAGTATTCTGCCTGAATGTAAGTGCCAGAAGAGGGCATCAGATCTGGAACTATAGAGTTATGGAGCATTGTTAGCCATAGTGTTAGGAACTGAAGCCTGTCCTCTGCTAGAGCAGCCAGTGTCTAACCACTGAGCCCTCTCTCCAACTCCTTTTGTGTGTGGTTTTTGTTGCAAGATCTATGTAGCCCAGCTGCCTCGATCTGTTTTCCACCTCACTCTCCCTATTGCTGGGATTGACTTTTTTCCCCTTTGAGGAAAGAACAGGATTCTTTTAAAAACTGAATTCAAATCAGTTAATTCCTCCCACCTTCGGCCATAACACCTTGGATATTGCCTGATGTCAGATTTCATTGTTTGGTGTGTGAGCATGCCAGGGTGTCTGTGTGTTGGTCAGGGCAGCATGCAGGAGTTGGTTCTCCATGTTTGGGTCCTGAGGATCAAATTTGGGTAGCCAGCTTGCTGACCCAACATACAAATAAATTCTAAGCACTAGGTAAAGAAATCAGTGCTTCCTTTGCATGCCCAGCTCCCTGGGTTCCATCCCAAGCATCACAAGAGATAAAATTTCTGGGGTTGGAGAGATGAGTCTGATTAAGAGCACCTACTGTATTTGTAGAAGACCTGGGTTCATTTCCCAGGACTCATGTCAGGTGGTTCACAACTGTAACTCCAGATCTGATGCCTCTGGCCGCCTCAGGCACCTGCACTCAAGTGCACAGACACAATTAAAACCTGTAAGAGGCTGGAGAAAGGGCTTGGCAATTAAGAGCATTGGCTGTTGGAGAAGACCTGGGTTTGAATTTTGGCACCCACATGGCAGCTAACAACCATCCTTAACTCCAGTTCCAGGGGATCCAACATCCTCTCTCCTTGGGCACTGCATGACACAGATGTACTTGCATACATGGGTAACACTCATACACACAATAAACTTAAAAAATGAAAAATCTAAGGCAGGTATGGTGGCAGCTTGGCTTTGTTCTTCATGCACTACATACAAGATATGAGAGGGGCAGGCAAGATGGCTCTGTGGGTAGTGGGACTTTTCAACATGCCTTAAGACCTGATTTAGATCCCCAGAACCCATATGGTGGAAGGACTCACGCTAGTTGTCCTCTGCCTGCCACATGCTGTAGCCCAGCATGCTACAGAGAAAAACACAATAGCTTAGGGGACCACTTGACATCTTGTCATTCAGAGGAGGACAGCCCTTCTAGCACAGAGATTTGGTCTAAGCCTCAGTTTCTTCAGCTGCAAAATGGAATGATTTCCTCCCTACCATATGCAGCAAGGGCCTAATGTCATTTTCAGCCAGGCTTATTGGTGCACATCTATAGTTCCAGCTATTTGAGGGTGACTTCAGGAATTCAAGGCCAGCCTGGGCAAGAAAGCCAGACTCCAGGGTTTGGGGTTTGGTTTTTGGCATGGGGATCTTATGTAGCTCAAGATGGCCTGGAACTCAAGATAGAGTTGAGTCTGGCCTTGAACATGATCCTCTTGCCTCCACCTTTCATGGGATTACTGGTGGCTGAAGATGTGAGAGAGAACCTCCTGGCTGTGGTGGTTCATGTTTGTATTTCAAGGTCTTGGGCAGCTGAAATGGGAGTATTGATGTGAGTTCAAGGCCAGCCTGGACTGTAGAGACTGAGGGGAGGAGAAAAGAGACAAGAAAAATGTCATTTCAGTTGGGTGTGGTGGCACACGCCTTTAATCCCAGCAGATCTCTGAGTTCAAGGTCAGCCTGATCTACATAATGAGTTCCAGGCCAGCTGGAGCTACATGGAGACCCTGTCTCAAAAAGACCAAAAAGAAAAAAAGTCATTTCAGCCCTTAGGAGGTTGAGGCAGGAGGACTCTGTGATTTCCTGGCTATCCTGGATTATAGGGTGAAACCCTGCCTTCTAGCCTCACCAAAAGAAGAAAAAAATTAAGTTTTGGATTTAAGCTGGAGAGCTGGCTGCTCTTGCACAGGACCCCAGTTCAGTTCCTAGCACCCACATGGCAGCTAAACCATCTGTAACTCCAGTTCCACAAGATCTGATGTCCTCTTCTGTCCTCTGTAGGCACTGCACACACGGGTGCAATTACAGACATGCAAGCAAAACATTCATACATAAAAGTCAGTTTTTTTTTTTTTTTTTTTTTTTTTTTTTTTTTGTCTTTTTGAAGCAGGGTCTCCCTGTAGCCCCAGCTGTCCTGGAACTCACTATGTAGACCAGGCTGGCCTTGAACTCACAGAGATCCGCCTGCCTCTGCCTCCCAAGTGCTGGGACTACAGGCATGCGCCACCACGCCCAGCAGAAAAGTCAATTAAAAAAAAAAAAAAAGCCAGTCACGATGGCACATGACTCTAATCCCATGTGCCCCCAAGAGTCAGATGCATCTTTAAGATGGAGGCCAGCCTGGTCTACATTGTGAATTCCCAGGCCAGCTGGAGCTACAAAACAAAACGCCAATCAAAAAATAAACAACCAGGGTGGTGCACACCTTTAATTCCAGCACTTGGGAAGCAGAAACAGGTGGATCTCTGGGAGTTCCAGGCCATGTTCCTGGGGTTCCTGGGAAACCATGTCTCAAAATACAAAAAATTATCGCTATGAATAAATAGTAGGTAAATAAGTATATAAACAAGTGAATAAAGAAATAGTTAAGTCACTAGATACATAATGAATGGAAGGAAGGAGTGAAGGAATGAAGTTCTGGTTTGGACTCTCTCCGGGCCCCGCCCAGCCTGGGTGGCAGCGCCCTCTATACACTGCCCGCAGTTCCCCCTCCGTCCGCACCGCGGCGGTGTGCTCCCCGCTGGCCCCGCGTTTGGGTCTCTCTAGGCTGCAGCGCCAGCACCGGAACTCTTGTTCTTCCTGCGCTTCCGCTCTCTAGCCGGGGCTGGGAGCTGCGTGGTGTGAGACTTTGCAATGCCGACTGGTGACTTTGAGTGAGTGTGGGGCGGCGGCAGAGTTCCCCAGAAGGGCGATTTGGGGTGTCTCCGGGGTTATTGTGGTCTGGGCGCCGCAGAGACCAGATGGTTTCACTGATCTCGTCTCTCCGCAGCTCGAAGCCCAGCTGGGCTGACCAGGTGGAAGAGGAGGGCGAGGACGGTGAGTGCACATGCACAACCGGATCCCCCGCCTTGGCGTCCTGGCTTCTTGAGGGCTGGATGGCCCGCCCCCAACCCTAGGCCACGGGTTTCCAGCTCCGGACGAGGGCGTGCAGATCTATCTGAGCCTGGAACAGTGTCATCCCAAAGTTGGCTTGGGACCCCAGTCTGCAGTCCCGGCTCCCTCTCACCCCCTGTAGCGACTCACCCCCAAAGCCTTTCTGTCTTGGCTTCCCCATTTCCTCTGCCCCTGGAGTGACTGGCCAAAGTCCTTCCATGTTGGCTTGGAGGCTCTAGCCCCACAGCCCCTGCTTTCCACTCTGACCCTAGAATGACTGTTGGCCGTACAGTTCTTCCATGTTGGCTTGGAGGCTCGAGCCTTCCAGTCCTGCTTTCTCCTCTGCCCTTGGAGCCACAGTCACTCACAAAGCCCTTCCGCCTTGGCTTGCCAGCTCTAACCTTACAGGGGTCCCCACTTTCCTCTGCTCCTGGCGTGGGTCTCACCCCCACAGTCCTGCCATCCTAGCTGTTGCTGACTGCTCCTCCTCATACTCCCTCTGGCAGATAAATGTGTCACTAGTGAGCTCCTGAAAGGCATCCCTCTGCCCACTGGGGACACCAGTCCAGAGCCTGAGCTGCTGCCAGGAGGTGAGTGACAGCCTGCAACCCACCCCTGCAGATTCTCTTTCCTCCCTCCCCTCCCCCCAAGCCCTCTCTCCCCTAGTCTCCATCAGAGGACTCAGTTCCTGTCATCTTTCTCCAGCTCCTCTGCCACCACCCAAGGAGGTCATCAATGGGAACACAAAGACGGTGACTGAGTACCGGATAGATGAGGATGGCAAGAAGTTCAAGGTGCAGTGAGGACAGGGGTCAGCATGGCTCTGTGCTTGAGGATGTTACATTACTCATGAGGGACAGGTGTGGGTTGCTTGGGTTGGTGAGGAAGGTCCCTGCTGCTGGGAACCTTGAGGCATGGGGAACCCACCTCTGTTCCTTTCCATTTTCAGATTGTCCGAACCTTCAGGATTGAGACCCGGAAGGCTTCGAAGGCTGTGGCAAGGAGGAAGGTGAGACCCTCCCACATTGTGTTTGTTTGTGTGTGTGTGTGTGTGTGTGTGTGTGAGAGAGAGAGAGAGAGAGAGAGAGAGACAGAGACAGAGACAGAGAGAGACAGGTCGAGATCATCCTTAGTTGTCATTTCTCCCACACTTTTTTTGTCTTTTTGAGACAGCGTCTCCCTGTAGCCCCAGCTGCCCTGGAACTTACTATGTAGACCAGGCTGGCCTCAAACTCACAGAGATCTGTTACCCCTGACTCTCCAGTGTGAGGATTAAAGGCGTGTGCCCCCATCCTGGTCCCAGACTTCAGCCCTGATGGGAACTAGCCCACTGACTTGTCCTAGAAATCCCCACTGGCACAGCTGTCCCCCATACCCCCAAACCTCCTTTCTGTCATCTGGAGGCCCCCACCCCCTTTGTATGTAAGTGCATGAAAGTGTATGTGATAGACCCTTGTGCACACATGCAGAGACAAGAGGAGGATATTGGGTGTTGCTTTGTTACTGTTTGCCTTAGCCCCTTACACAGGGTCTGTCTCTGCCTCATGTCATGCCTCCCATGATACCAAGGTTACAGACGCGCACACAGCCACGCCTGACTTTATACGTGTGCTTGAGATTTGAACTCAGGTTCTTGTGCTTGCACAGGAACCACCTTGACCCACTGAACCATCTCCCTATCCCCCCTTTTTAGGTTTGAGACAGGGCCTTATGTAGTCTGGACCAGTGAACTCTAGTCCCTCGTGCTTCCACCTCCCAAGTGCTGGGATGACACCCATGCGCCACCATGCCTGGCTCAGGAAATGGGACCTGTCACCATTATTTACTAGGGGGCAGGACCTTGGGGAGAGTAGAACATGGGGCTCATGGCCCCAGCATGCTGGAGGTGGTGGTTGTCTGGAGTGGGGAATGTGGGTCTCCACACTGTCCCCTATCCCTCCCCGAGCCAGAACTGGAAGAAGTTTGGGAACTCAGAGTTTGACCCCCCGGGGCCCAACGTGGCCACCACCACAGTCAGTGATGACGTCTCTATGACATTTATCACCAGCAAAGAGGTGAGTGGGGTGACATGCTAGTGGGTGGGGCTAGAGCCCCATGGCCTTTTGGCCCCTCCTGAACCGCCTCTGCCCCACTCTCCTTCAGGACCTGAACTGCCAGGAGGAGGAGGATCCAATGAACAAGCTCAAGGGTCAGAAGATTGTGTCTTGTCGCATCTGTAAGGGCGACCACTGGACCACCCGCTGCCCCTACAAGGACACGCTGGGGCCCATGCAGAAGGAGCTCGCAGAGCAGCTTGGCCTGTCCACCGGGGAGAAAGAGAAACTGCCAGGAGGTATGGGCCTGGGGTGGTAAGTGGTGGTAGTGGTGTGTCCTCATGCTGGCCCCTTTGTTGCATGCTGTTGCAGCAGAGACCAGGTTTGAGCAGCAGGTGTCTACTGGGCACCCCCCTTGTAGCTGACCTTGTGTTTGGGGGTGGTCCCTCCCTCCTGTGTGGGTATAACCAGCTGGTGACTGTGGCAGCTCTTAACTTGAGCATGCCTGTTGGCAGGATGTTTTTGCTGCTACCCTGGGCGTGTGGAGTCTGGGTGCTGTGAGACTGCTGTTCTATTGTTCTTGGGCCTCTGTGATGCTGGGATGTGGGCACTGGGATCCTGTCTGCCAGTGGGCCCATTGTTGGCCAATGGGGTCTTTTTTTTTTTTTTTTCCTAATATTTATTATTTTTATGTGTATGAGTGTATTGCCTGTGTGTATGTGAGTGCATCTGTGTCCTGAAGTGCCGCAGAGGTCAGAAGAGGGCTTCAAATTTCCCTGGAACTAGAGTTAAGGACGGTTCTTAGCCACCATGTGGGTGCTGGGAATCAAACCTGGGTCCTCTGCAAGAGCAGTCAGTGCTCTTAACTGCTGAGTCATCTCTCCAGCCCCCAATGGGTCTTTCTTTAAGACAGGGTCTCCCTATATTCCCAGCTGGCCTGGAATGTGCTTTGTAGACCAGGCTGGCCTCAACAGCAGAGATCCGTCTACCTCTGCCTGCCGAGTGAGTCCTGGGACTAAAGGCTTGCACCACAGTGCTGGACACCAGTGGAATCTTTGAACCTGGGTGTAGAATTGGGTGTCTGTGACTGGGGACAGGGCTTTGTGTCAGATTCTCCTTTGCTGTCCAGAGCTGGAGCCTGTGCAGGCCGCCCAGAACAAGACGGGGAAGTATGTGCCCCCAAGCTTGCGTGATGGGGCTAGCCGCCGTGGAGAGTCAATGCAGCCGAACCGTAGAGGTGAGGGGTGTGGAGACAGCCTTGGTAGTGGGTGGATATCCCAGGACCTTGTAGTTACCACCGAGTCATGGGTGGTGTGGGGTTCAGCTGTGGCCTGCCACTTACTATCTCATTGCCCTGCCCTGACCACACAGCGGACGACAATGCCACCATCCGCGTCACCAACCTGTCTGAGGACACACGTGAGACTGACCTGCAGGAGCTCTTCCGGCCCTTTGGCTCTATCTCTCGTATCTACCTGGCCAAGGACAAGACCACTGGCCAGTCCAAGGTGGGTGGCTGACCTGGGAATGGGAGTGCGTGCTGGAGGACCTGTGACTTAGGTCTTGCTCTCTGACCCTGCTCTACCTCCAACCCCCAGGGTTTTGCCTTCATTAGCTTCCACCGCCGTGAGGATGCTGCGCGTGCCATTGCTGGGGTATCTGGCTTCGGCTATGACCACCTCATCCTCAATGTGGAGTGGGCCAAGTAAGACCCCTACCCACCCTGTGCCCCTCCTGCCCCCCCCCCCAGGACCCCCAGGATTGCCTCACTGCTCTCTTCCTGTTTCCCTACCCTGCATGTCCCTAGCCACCTCTGAGGCCTGCTGTAGCCTCTAGCTCAGCAGTCACCAGGCTTGTCTGAAATGATGGCACTTTATTGTTTGCAAAATCCTTGCCAAGAGCCAGGTGGCCGCTGGCATCAGTTGCCCCTCCTGGGTCCCATGCCAGTCCAAGGCAGGGAGCAGGCTGGACCTGCAGGTCCTTAGGGTGATCTCCTGATTCCATGGAAGGGTGCAGGGGTGACTCAAAGGTGGCCCTCAGGTCCCAAGTCCCTGCCTGTACCTCATGCCTCCCTCCCTCTTTCTAGGCCATCAACCAACTAAGTCACCTGCCACTGATGGCTGTCATCCTGGGACAGAAAGCTTCCAAGGACAGTAAATAGACTCAAAGCACTTTGTGTCCCGGTCCTTCTCACTAGTCGCCTATGGCCAGTGGGGCTGGCCCCTCCCCCAGGCTGGGGCCCTGTAAGAGGGTATGTGGGTGGGTGGCGGTGAGCCTTCACTGGTGTGAGCACCAGGCTTTGGGAAGGAAGTGGCAACTGGGGACCTTATGGTGCTCCCGGGCTGCCTTCCACACTGTGGCTGTGGTCACAGTGAACTCGTGTGTGAGAAACAGTCGCAGGCCTAGGGTCACAGGCTCAGCTGTGCTCTGGAGGTAAAGGTTGTAACTGCCAGAGGCAAGTCTTGGCTAGGGCTCTTGTCCTTGGGGTGTTGGTGGTATAGGTAACAGCAATGCAGGTTGGGTGCCACAGCCATTTAGAGTGGAGGTTGCATGCAGGTGGCCAGGGGCACGAGATTCTGTGCTGCTTGGTAGCCAAGGTAGAGCCCCAGCTCTAGTGCCCCCATGGCCTGTGCCTCGCTTGAGAAACTGGGAAACCAAGCCAGCCAGCACTGCTGGGTACCCACATTGAGCACTTGCATAACATGATAGGGTCTGTAGGAGCAGGCATTAGGGGTCCATACCATGGCTGCGTAGCACTGCCCAGCACAGGTAGCATAGGCCAGCAGAGTGAGCACCAGGGGCAGTATGCCACCCAGTCCAGCTAGTGCCAGCCAGCCCATAGGCCCTGTAGCCCCACCCCGCAGCCAATGTTCATCTGTGGTCCCCAGGCGCTTGATGCAGGCCTCTGGCCTTTCCGTGCTGCACACCCCAGCACCAGGCTGTGGCAGTTTCAGGCAGGAGAAGCTGAGTGTGGGAGTAGCCAGCAGGATGGCCACGGTTCAGCCCACAGTGCTCACCACCCAGGTGTGCTTGTGGCATAGGCAGCTGCGTGTGAGGAAGGGGTAACTCCCAGGTAGTAGTTGAAGCTGATGACACCACCTAGCAGGTTGCAGGTTGAGGAAGAACGATCGAAGCAGCAGGCCACTTCCTTGAAGTTTAAGTAGGTGACCAATAGTGGGCAGCATCAGTGCGTAGCCCAGGTTACGCACCGTCAACTGCACCAAGAAGATCACAGTTGGCTGCTCCCATGTGACAAAGTGGAACAGGGCCAGGCCATTGCCAGCCACTGCCACCAGGATGGGCCATAGGAGACCCTGGAGCCTGTGGTCTGCAGCTGCTGAGAAGTTTCGCTGGGCAGAACTTGGCACCTGTGAGCAGGAGTCACTGGCTATGCTCTGTCCAACCTCACAGGCTTCTGCATCGACCCCATTTCTGAGTGGATACTGGGTGGCCAGCCACAGGGGCCCTCTGGGTCTACACAGAATCCTGTCACTCACTATTCAGAGCCCTGGAATCAGGGTTGCAGCTGTTCCCATATGGAGCCCCCCAGTGTTACTCCCTTCCTGGAAGGTGTGGATTAACAAGTCCCTGCTGCTGGGCTGAGCAACCTGTCACTCAACCCCATGTTGTGTGCAATGCTTACACCTACAGACTCTACCTGCAGCCTTTCCATAAGGTGGCCATCTGTTCTGGTCCCGTTGCCCAAAACTCAGTCCCACAACACCTTACAGGTCAACTCTAACCCCTCTCCCCCATTTCCTGTTCCTAGTAGCCATCCCCACCCACCAGCTAGCTCCTAACCCATCTAAGACTTAGTTCCCACTGGCCACCCACGTTCTAAGCCTACCAATCCTTTCCTGCTTGTGTCCAGGACTGGCTTCTCATCACTAGGGTGAAGCGCCACACAGGTGCATACCTCTAGCAGGGTGCAGTGGTGGGAAGTGCCCTCTTGTCCACTACTGACTCCCTGGATTCCACATTGGAGCCTGGGAAAGCTGGGGCCCCAAACATCCTGTTCTTTTCAGGCCTGAGAAAGCTGGCTATTGCCACCCTCAGCAATTGGCTCTCTTGGAAGGTTCTGAAAGCATCCCCTATTAAGGCTTTCCTCTGCCTCCTGGTCTATGTTCCTATCCCCTCAGACAGCAGAGGGAGGCAGCCATGGCAGCTTCTGGGTTACATGAGGCCCCTACCAGTCTCCAAGCAGTGTAGTGTGGCTGCTAGCTCATCTCAACTTGCAAAGCGGAGTCAGAAAACCATCTCTGTCTCCCATAGCCTAGCCTATAGGAGGTAGCAAGTATCCCCCAGCAGAGAGACACACAGCAATCACAGAACTTGGTATTTACTAGGGGAATGGCAGGAAATCCTTCACGAAAGGAAACCGGGCTGCGCCTGAAAGCCCAGGGCAGCTTCCGGACCCCAATCTGGGGTGTCCATGGTCACCTGTTGGACCAGCAGCTTAGGTTCCTCTTCTGGACGGCCGTCCTTGTCTTTGTCCTTGGGCTGTAGCTCTGGGTCCTTGTTTGGGCTGAGCTCCTCGGGGTCTACCCTGCAGCTTTGGGGGCCTCCAGTTCCCACCTCGGCCCTGGCCAGACCTCAGCTCCTTCCTGTGATGCTTGCCTGCAGACCGTCTCCGCTTGGCCACAGGAAACATGTCTATGAGGAGAGAGACTTTCAGGGTCCCCAGGAAGCCAGGTCAATCCCCAGGTGTGACCTCCAGATGGGAGAGACCACTTACCATCATCAGGCTCCTCACCCACAGCCTGGCGGAAATACTCCACATCATCTTCCTCATCTGGCTGGCTGGTTCCCCCCGCCTCTGAGGTTGTCCCGGGGTCCTCTGCATCACTGTCACCATTGGCTTCTTTGCGGGCCCGCTTCATGCCAGCCAGGCTCTTCTTCCTGGAGAACAGGTTGCCATGGTCAGGCTGCCTGGGCCACACCTCCCACCTTCCAGCCCAGACCTCTGCACACTTGTGTGCCTCTCGTTGTTCACGTTTGCGCTGCACATTCCCAGCTTGCTGGTCCTGTCGCTGAACCTTCAACTGCAGCTTCTTCTCCTTGGCTGCCAGAATGGCCTGCAGCTCTGTCTCTGTCTTGTGCACTGAGAGAATGACCAGCTGTCACTTGTCAGGGTCACCGCATCCCCTGGGCAATGCCACCCATGGCTCTATACCCACCAAAACTGTGGAACAGGACATTGCCATCCCCGACGCCCTCCTGGATCTTAATGAGCTGCAGTGTCATCCGGGGCCCAATCTGGGGTGCACAGGCGAAGAGTCAGGCTGGCACCCCACAGGCAAGCCCCCACTCTGGCAGGTATGCCCTCACCTCTGTCAGCCGGATGGCACTCTGCTGGGCCTGCATGTTGCCACGACCAGCCACAGCCTGGGGTAGCTTCGTGATATTGTATTCTCCGTCTGGTTCACCCTCGCTCTCAGACAGCCCTGCCCCCCTGTGTGGAGCAAGCAGTTTGAACTGGCACACTGGGTGCTGTGGGCACAACTGAGGGGACCACCGTGGGAGCCCCACCTGGCTGCTCACATGGCCAGCAGCTCACTGATGTCTTGCAGGCGGCTCATGTTGGGGAACTTTTCCTGCAGGAGCTTCTTCATGCCCCGACTGGCGCCCACTGGAACCACCTTTATACTGCTACATGAGGATGGGAGGATGTGGAGGGTGCAGGGGTCAGAGGTTGGCTCTCCCCCCGCCTGTCCCTCTGTGCCTCAGGGCATTTACTTTAAGACTGAGCAATCACAGAGTCTCAGCAACAGTCATCATCATCCACATAAGACATCCCGCCCTGTGTGCCCCCACTCACTAGTGGCGGAAGTCCAGCTCCTGGGAGTCATGGTTGTAATTAATGAGGAGGCAGCGCTTAATGGTGTTGAGGTTCACCTGGACAGCAAAGGGACCCTGTGAGCTGAGGCCAGGAGATGCCAGTAGGTAGGCCATCCCTGAACTGTGCTCCAGCCCATGTCACCAGCACAGGCACCAGGGATGTCAGGTACAAAACCTGGTCCCGGAAACCAAAGACACCCACCAGACCCAACATGCCTTGTCCATCATCCCAGCACTCCGGAGGCCAGGTCAGGAAGAGCCCAAGTCAAAGGTCATCCTATGTTAACAGAAGACCTTGTGTCTAGAAAAATAGGTGGGGGGGTCTAGAGAGATGGCTCACTGGCTGCTCTTGCAGAGGACTGGAGTTTGGTTTGCAGCACACACATAGCAGCCAACAACCCTCTGTAACTCCATGTCCAGAAGACTCCAATGCCCTCTTCTGACCTCCACATGCACTGCACAACATGGGTGTACTTACATAGATTCAGACAATACACTAATATACATAGAGATAAAAATATCTTTAAAAAAAAAACACAAAAAAACGGGAGGAATTGGGGCTCAGTTGGTAAGCTGCATTAAGTTCTAAGTTTGGTTCCCAGTATGCCATAAGCCAGGATTGCAGCACACCAGGAATCTGACATTCAGGAGGCAGAGGATCACACATTCAAGGCTAGCCTTGGTTACAGAATAACCTGAGGCCAGCTGGAGATTCATGAGCTCCTGTCTCAGTATCAAAACATACCAACAGAGGCAGGTGGACCTCTGTGAGGCCAACGTGGTCTACAAAGCCAGTTCCAGGCCAGGTAGGGCTACAGGGAGACCCTGTCTCAAAAAACCAAATGAAAGCAACAACAACAAAAAACACCTCACACTAACAGAACTTGAGCTCTCCCTCAGAGTCAGTGCCCCTCTGTACAGTCAGGACCAGCCACCTGAGTAGCCCTGCAAGTCTTGACCCACCTTGTGCACATTGATGGAAGGGAACAGGTTCTGGAACATGGTGGCCATGAGTTTTACGTGCATGCCTTGGGGGCCGAAGCTGTTGAGCACCAGGAGGGGCGGGTGGGCAAACTGCTGTTCGTGCATCCGGTGCCGACGCAGGGAGGAGACCACATCCCGGACCAGTGTGTACTAGAGGGGAGGGTAGATGGGGTGAGTGCTGCCCCATGTGGCCAGAAGCGTCCCTGAGCCCAGCTCTTCACTCCTAGCCCTCACCTTGTGGATCTGGAAAGTCAAGGTGGGGCCTCCAGGGAGGCGCATCAGCTTCTGCAGGAGAAAGGACTGGTGAGGATGGAGTGGTTTTGCAAGGGGATGAGGCCTGGGGGGGCATCTCTGCTCCCTCTCTTCAGAGCGTTTACTTTGAAGCCAGAATCACAACAGCTCAGGGCCACAAGGGTTCATCATAAGACAGGGGCAGTGTGGCTAAGGCAGGGAGAGAGCCAGGTGTCCACTCACCAAGTACACACTGCTTTCTGTTTTGCTCAAGATGAGGAAGTGGGTAACACCGAGGGGTCCAGCCACTGCCACACAATCCTTCAGTGAATTTTTCTTTCGAACCTGATTACAGAAAAGAACCAATAAATAATCCTTACTGAGCAAAAGACCAGACACTTAAGCTATTGGGGCTGAACCCATGACCTTGGGCATGCTAGGCAGATACTCTACCAATGACCCATACCCCAACACTCTTTTTGAGATAGCACTTTACTATGCAGTCTTGGAACTCTATGTAGACCAGGATGGCCTCGATCTCACAGATGCAACTACTGCTGCCTTCTGAGTGCTAGGAATAAAGGCACCACACCTAGCCCTCTGTTTTTAATTAAAAAAATAAAATAAAATAAAATTACTAGCCAGGAGTGGTGGCACAAGCCTTTGATCCCAGTGTACCGGGAGGCAGGGGCAGGCTGATCTCTGTGAGTTCGAGGCCAGCCTGGTCTACATAGAGAGTTTCAGGCTGGCTGGGGCTGCAGGGAAACTGTCAAACCCATAACTCTTACAGCGGTGGCAGGATTGGAACCCGGCCCGGAGAGTCGCAAACCTGCAGGCGGGTGGCGGTGAGTGGCTCCATGACCCGCCGCACATCCAGGCTGAGCTGCCGGAGGCTGCGGCCCGCGCTGCCTCGGGTGAACACGAACGAGTGCGGCTGCGCTGCGTAGGCCTCGAGGTTGCGGAGCTGCGCTTGGGCGCGCGCGCGCTTCTGGTACCGGGACTGCGGGAGCGACAGGGGTGACGGGGTGAGGGACCCAGCCTCGACCGCCACCCGGTCAGCGTCCCGCGTCCACCCCGGCCTCCACGCCTTACCCGCCCGGACTGCCCCATGTTGCCTCTTCCACGAGGCAGCCTCTGCCGCCGCTTCCGGTACCTTCCCTCTCATTTCCGGCGCCGGGAGGCTCCATGTGCGGCCCACTTCCGGTGCCCTGTGGATCGTGCACGACTCCCTTCCGGTGCTGCACGTCCAACTGTCGACGTGCGTGTCTCTTCAGATGCAGTCCACTTCTGGCGCAATGAAGCCCACGTCCGGCTTTGCGCGGCCCCTTCTGGCCCTGGATGCTTACTTCCGGTTACGCAGCCTACTTCTCGTTGAGCAGCCCACTTTCGGCGCCCGGCTGCTCAAAGCCCTATCTACTTCCGGCGCTCAGATCGGTAGAGTCAACAAGCGGGCCTCACGTGGCTTAGAGGACGGAAATGGAAAAATTATCGCAGGAGTTGCTATGGAGACATCTCGGGCTGTTTCTGTGGAAACCTGGGGGCGGGATGGGGTGGGGGTGGGGGGGGGGGT